TGGGGTTTGACTCCCCCTAACATCAAATTTTTGAAAAATTCTAAAGGTACACACTTTTTGGTGTACACACTTTTTACAATGTCTGTGTAAGGTTTTTTTTATGTCTATACAGACATAACGTATTTTAAAAATACGTTATGTCTGTATAGACATAAAAAAAACCTTACACAGACATGTGTAAAAAATGTGTACACAAAAAAGTGTGTACCCCAAGTCCAACTTCAAATTTTTTTATATTTAAAAAACATGTGAGTGGGATGACATGAAGGCATGACGTAGCGAGCGGGTGACATGGAATCGCAAATAATCGGGTTTCGCTGACATGGTTCGTCTAGCCGGATGACAAGGCAAAAAACACCTATATTTGGGAAATAAGTTTAAAACTATCCTAATTTAGGAAATAGGATTTGAAAATACCTCTCCTCACGAAAAAACTCAATAATTTTGGGATAAAAGTGTCTATATGTTCCTAATTAATTTTCTTCGTCTTCAAAATTTGGATAGAAAAGTCAATATCTTAAATAAATTACACACAAAATATAGTGGATTGAAAGGATTATAGGAACAATATAATAGTGCATAAAGTTTGAACGGACAACTAACAGAAAAACTAACATTCAAACCAAAAAACCCTTGATACGGAGTAACCTTTTTGCTTGGATCGTTTAAATTAAAAATAGATACGGCGAAATAGTAATAAGACAAGACAACTCTTGTTGTAATTAAATGTATGAATATGATCGGTGGAAGTGCTCTGCCGGCGCCGGTGGCGGACTGCTGCTGCTGACCAAATGATGATGAATGTGAGTTATGGTTCATTATTCATGGGTGGCTGAAAACTCCGGCGCCACCTGCATAATTAGCTGGATTTGCTTGGAGAGCTTTGCATTAATTGATTGATAATTAAATGGTTAATGTGGAGCAGCATCCACTTTAATGACATTTATGGTGACATGAATATGGAGTCAGCTTGGTTCTCAACTTCCGCAACATCTAAACCATTTTTATTCATTGCTCATCGATGATTATCACTCATCTCCCTAACTCAACCCCCAAGCCCGACCCCAACTGCCAGATCTAACTGGATGCCTGCAAAAGCTTTCTTTAAACTAGAACCTCAATATCGAATTCATTTCCTGACACTAAAATGAAATATCTAAGTCGCTTCAAATTATTGTACGGAGTAATTATGATATGAATGGCTTAATTGTGTAAAATCTAGCTATACTCCCTCTGTCCCAATTTGATTTGCAAAATTTTCAATTTTGGTTGTTCAAAAATGGTTTTTTCACTTTCTATTTTAGGTATGTAAATAAGAATAAAGTGACAAATTTACCCTTACTTTTACTTTTTTCTCATTAACTTAAAGGCATCTACTTTTAGAAAGATGGACAAAACTGTAAAAAAACAAGCATCATTTATTGTGATTCTTTAATCCTTGTGCCGGTTAAAGTTTGCAATTCAATTCGGGACGGAGGGAGTACTACATCTGTCCCATAAAATTCTTCCCACTTTGACTTGGCACGAAGATTAAGAAAGTGGAATAAAGTGGAAATGTATGGTTGTGGTTGTGTAAGAAAAAGGTGAAATGAATGTAAATCACACAAATTGTCCAAAAGTGTAAGTGAGAAGAATTTTTTGGGACGACCCAAAAAGAAAAGTTGGAAGAATTTTATGGGACGGAGAGTGTATTTTATTAATAAAATAAATTAAAAAAATTTATGAAAAATAGATAAAGTGAATTAATTCCACTTTAGGTCCTCCGAGTTTTGTGTCATTTCCATATTTAGTCCTTATCTTTCACTTTATCCATTTTTGGTACCTGACAATTGTTTTCTTGACCATTTGTGGTCCATTTTGAGCATTTTTACTATCGGAAAAGGACTATAAATTGTCAAGAAAACAATAGTTAGGTACCAAAAATGGATAAAATGAAAGATGAAGACTAATTGTGGAATTGGTGCAAAACTCTAAGGACCATAAGAGTTAATTTTTCTAACGGTGTTAGACGTCACGCCCTTGGTGTGATAACGGAATTGAAACACATGTCCCACTTCGTTAAAAAAATGAAACACATGTCCCTATCTGATAACGATCCAAACCACAGGTACTTTTTCTGTACTTTTCTCAATAAAACATTACATAATCCAGGAACAATGCTTAATAAGTGACACTTCCTCAATAAGAGATTACCTTATTTTGAAAAACAAATACTTCATCTGTCCCACTATAATTATCTCATTTTTTTCATTTTCATCCGTCCCACTAAAACTATCTCATACCATATTTGATAATATTTGTGTGGTTCTAATTTATTCCTACTATTTTCAATTTATCAATTAATTATCAACCACATAAGTCTACTTTTTCTTAGAAACTGCATTACTTATCTCCTTTGTCCCAATAATAGGAGGACCGATGTAGTACATAACAGTAGTGATATTTTGATGTGTTAAACATTATAATTATACCAAATTGCATTCACAATAGTTTCTTAAATTTCATCCATTTGTTGTTGTTGAAACATCAATTGTGGTGGATGTATATTAATCCAAAATGTTCATGTGAACACTCAAATACCTCAAGTGTAAAAATACATATACATGAGTGTTAATGCAAAAATTTATACTCCGTATATGTATATGAACGCACAACATATAAAATAATTTTGAACCTTCAAAGTTAATGTTCAAGATCCGCCGTTGGTTACAAAATATTTCATTAAATATGGATCATATAGATAAAATTGAAAATAATACTCTCTCCGTTCTCCAATACATGTCTCTCTTTCCATTTTTAGAAAGTTTTTTTAATAAATATACTTATATATCATCATTATTTTTCCTACTTTTGCATTTAAACATAATGCACTACATCTTTTATCTAACTCCTATTATTTTCTTTTTAAATCTTGTGTCCAAAGGCTATAGAGCCATCTATTGGAGAAGGAAGGGAGTAACTAATACTCTCTCCATCCCGGAATTATCTTCATTCTTTTCTTTTCGATCCGTCCCAAATTTATCTCCTTTTTCCCTTTTTGGTAAAGAATATGTGATTCACAATCATTCTTACACATTTCTCTCTCCTCTGCATAACTCTCCACCATACAAATCACACTATCTTAAAACTCGTGCCCGATCAAAACCGGAGTTAAATATGAGACGGAGGGAGTAACATATTTTTCATTATTAGATAAAAAAGCTTGAAAAAAGAGAAAAGGAGGAGCGGATATGGTTTTCCCTTAGCCCCACCTCTCTCTAGCGAGTGAACCCATTCTCTTTTATTTTTTATAGCTAGTACTACCTCCTATCTCCGGCGAACTTTATCAAGTGCAAAGTAAGTGAGAAATAAGAAAAGTAAAAATTGTGTGGTTGAGATTTGTGAAGATGAGAGAGAACTGTGCAAAACCACAAATTAATTGTTTTTAATAAGAAAGTAACAAAATTTCTTAGGACAACCAAAAAAGAAAAGTTAGCAAAGTGATGCCATAATTGGATTTTGGGTTAATGAAATTATGAAAATCTTAATTGCGAATTAAGTGTTAGAAATTCATAATAATTGCACTGTCCGCAAAATGAGGCCACCTCTGTCGCATGCATAATTATTTATCTCATCCTATTCCTATATTTCATCATCACTTCCATCACCATTTATGCTTCTTCCTTCCTTACCTCCCTCCCACAAAAGCAAAAGAAAATTTACTTTGCAGAAAATTATCCGTTTCATCATCTGATCGATCGATCTATCGCATACAATTCAGTCAGGCCATGTCATCTTACAAGAAGAAGATTGTCCTGAGCAGTGTTGCAGTGAAGCTAGGTTGCGGCAGCAGCTGCAGAAGGCCCAAACTCTCAGCCGTCTTCGTCCCCAAACCACGGCGGCGCCACCACAAACCCGCCGCCGCCGCCGCATCCACCGCCACGGCGCCGAACTTCTCCAACTACTCCTCCAGCTCCTGGGACACCGCCACCACCACATTCTCTCCGGCGAACTACTCCTCCGACGCCGACTCCGAGATCAAGAGCCTCAGAGCCGTACACGGCTTCGGAAGGGTCGGCGGGGAGAGCGTCGCCGTCGAGAAAGACTCCGAAGACCCTTACCTCGACTTCCGGCAGTCCATGCTGCAGATGATCCTGCAGAAAAACATCTACTCGAAAGATGACCTGAAAGAGCTTCTCAACTGCTTCCTGCAGCTCAATTCTCCTTACTACCACGGTGTCATTGTCAGAGCCTTCACGGAGATCTGGAATGGGGTCTTCTCCGTGACGCCGCCGGTGCCACCGCAGGGCGGGGCCGCCCCGGAGTGGATGTCACGTGGCTTTTAGGCAACGCACGTGATATCATATGTGGGCCCACACTACTAACTTCCCGGCTTATCAATAAAGTTGTGCGTCCGTCAAACTGTAGCTAGTGAAAGTAGATTCTGGGGGTAGTATGGTAATTGTGGTTCCCACAAAATATTACGCGTGGGAGTCCTCCATAGTGTGCTTGATGAAGCAGTAATTAATTAATGCACTCTTAGAGTGTAGGATTTAATGATTCCTAGAAGATGAGATAAGCTTAGTTAGTTGTTCTATTTTCACAGCCTTTTTTCCCACCTAATAGGTTTAGGCGATGGAAGTTTCTATTATGATGTTCGTTGAGTGGTTAAAAATGCTGTGAAAATTGTAACCGTAAGCATATATATTCTTGTATTATTATTATGTAACGTTACTTTGAATTTCTCTAAGTTTTATATGCTCTAAAGATGACTAATTCATTGTCTTATATATTACGGAGTAATAATTGTTTAATACCAATATTTTGATTGAAATTCGAAAAATAAATTAGTTCTTCGGTAATTTAAGAGTATTGTAGAATTTACTTTGACGATATTCCTTTTAAAAAAGTCGCCTTATTTAACACTTCAACACTGAAATTTGAAAAATAAAAATGGAAAATGGAAACTAATAATCCAACCGTTTAGTGGTTTTCTTACAATAGTCTTACATTTGCATTATAAGAAATTATCCTAAATAGGATTAAAACAATAGAAAAGTTCCAAAATAGGAGTCCTAATTGATATATTCCCTAAATAGGAGCTAAATAAGTTGTTCCGCCGATACATGTTTATTATGTTTACAATTATATCCTTCTTTATTTATCTTGAATAACAACTTTCCTCTCTCCACTATCTTTTCCTCTCGCTTAACTATATCCCTATAGTCTCACGATTTTTCTTTTTATTTCATCAGCAACATGAATCTCTCTTCTTCATTCATTTCATCTTTTGAACTTTATTTTTCAAGATTCTCCGATGGAAAAGGACTGCGGCGGAGGGCGGCGACACAAAGAAAGGCGGGACAATTCATGGACATAAGTAAGTATCAATTTCTCGTTTTTCTTCTTCTTCTCTTCTTCTCCTTCTCATTTTCCTTCTCCTTTTTTTCTTCTCTTTCTCCTCCTCCTTCCCTTTCTTCTCTTGGATTTCTATAAATTATTTTGTAATTTTCAGATTCTTATTTTAGATCTGAAATTTGGGATTAGATATTCCAAGGCCCCAACAATCGGTCTGAAATTTTGAATCTTACTTTTTAATTAATTTTGGTTCGATGGATTTTAAAAATTGACATTAATTTATTTACTGACTATTATCAATAAAAAATGTCAATTTGATAAATAGTGTTATTTCAAGATGACATGTGTTTATGACAATAAATGTATGAAAATGGCAATATTTTGTATTTTGCAATATGAAATTGTCATTATTTTAAGTATAATGGCAATATAACAAGGATAGCAATAATATCCAAAAGATGACCATTACTTCGTATTACTCATGTTAAAAATGGCAATAATACTCCTAAAGATGGCAATAATACTCCTAAAATGGCATTATCGCTCATATTAAATATGACAATAGGACATTAGTATTAGTAAGAATTTATGACAATATGCATCAAAGAGTCAAATAAATTGCCAACTTTAGAATTTTGAAGACCAAAAATTTGTAGAGTAATGTTTTTTTATCTTAGTATATTTATTTTGTTTACCCAAAAAAAATATTTTTTATCTTAGTGATAAAAATTATTTTAAAATAGCGATTTGACAATTTCATATTCAAACCAAAAAAATAATCTCAAAATTACAAATATATTGATTGAAATCAAATGTAAACAATTGTAATATGTATTGTAAAATATAAATAAAATGTCAAAAGAACAAAAGATGAAATGAAATTGAAAGAGAAAACAAACCAAAAACAAAAAAAATCACTAAAAGCAATCTCAAAAGAAGGAAGAAAGTGGAAGCAGAAATCAAATATAGAATTTCTAGTGCACCGTGTGTTCTAAAATTTCTTCTATTTTACTAATTGTTAAAAACTTCTATGCGTTGTAAAAAGTAAAAACATGCGGCTTGCTTTCATTAAGGGTATTATGGTCAGTTTCTTTTAAAACTTCCGAGTCAAACATACGTAACTTATAGGACTCCTATTTTAGCATATTTCGTATGTTTTACTCCCATATTTGGAATTCTCTCTTGCATTATTCATGAATAATCCAACCTTTGCACTCCATCTTCATTCACTGGTCCCTAACCGATTTATGATCTGTTATTCCAAGTTATTTTCTTATCTTTGTAAAACATTATACCATAATTCCACCTTATGATCACATAATGTTTTGCAAAGATAAGAAAATAACTTGAAATAACAAGTCATAAATAGATCTGGGACCAGTGAATGAAGATGAGGTGCAAATGTTAGATTATTCATGAATAATGTAAAGATAGGACTATTGTAAGAAAACCGTTAAAAGGTTGGATTAATAGTTTCCATTTTGCATACAGTTTTGATAGAGAGATTCATCCTCCATAATATTAAGACCCCTTTGGTAATTTTTATTTTTTGTTTATCAGTTTAAATTAACAATTAACTACTTTACGAAATATTACGTAAGTAATTTTTTGGGTTTTGACCGTGAGTATTACTAAAAAGTGGATAATCGATAAAAAACGATTTTTAATCATTAAACTTACTAAATTATTCTTACTTAATATTCAGTGACTTTTTCTAATAGTGACATGGACCGCCACAATGACCACCGATACAGTGACCTCTGCCACATTAACAAATTTACAATTGTCGGCAAGTAACTGCTAGCCACAATGACACAATGACACAACGAATTTGGTCACAGTGACACAATGACTCCAGCCACAGTCATCCCACCACATTGATCCCATGCCATTACCATTAGTCACCACCACAACTCACCAACCCTCAACCCTCGGACCAACGCCACCCGCATGACCCATCACAACCGTTGACCCTGTTGCTGTCACCACCCTTCCTGCCAAAGCCCCAAAGCCTTACCTCACCACCCCAACCTCTCCTTGTCTTGTCCCGCCCCCTAGTCCCCACAACTACCAGTCACAATCCACAGCCAAACCCTTGACTCATATGCTAACCTAGATGCCGCCATCGTTGAACCCTAGCAACGTCATTTAACCTAGCATCCACCATCGAGCTAAATTGTGGTTCATAGTCACCACAATCAATTATTCGAGAACCGTCTCTTCACCAATTTGAAGGTCGGACAAAAGATAGTACGTGAAGACAATGTGAGACTTCAGAGGTGGCAGAGACATCAAAGTAGGAAGAGCGGCCGTGTGATGAGTACGAAGAGGCGGCTTGGGGCATGCAAGAGAGTTGTAGGGGCGGATGCAACGACAGAGGCGGATAGCTCTGGAGGGTTAGGGAGGAATTATGTTACACTTTAACTATTTATATCCAGGGTAATTTTGTGCTTTCATATATAACAAGTTTTTTTTGTCTATATGGAATATATTGTTGTCTCATTGTCACATACTTAATTGTAGAATAATTAAAATAAGTAAAATTGAAGTCACTTTTATGGCTTAAACCGCTTAAAATATCTATTTTAGCAATATTTTATATATCTTTTTATTGATTTTATGATTTTTTATGGATAAAGTACATGTTAAATACTACCTCCGTTCCTATTAAAACTTCCAAATAGGTTTGGCACAGAGTTTAAGATAGTGGGTATTGTGTGGTGGAGAGTAGTGCAGAGGAGAGAAAAATGTGTAAGAAATGTTGTGAATCACAAATTCTTTACTAAAAAGGGAAAGTGGAAGTTTTAATTGGAACGGACGAAAAAGGAAAGTTGGAAGTTTATTTAGGAACGGAGGGAGTATAATTTTTCATAATTCAATATATTCAGCCAATTAGCCGTTTTAGGCATGATTTCATCAATTTTAGGAGATTAAGTCAATTTTAATTTAGTGCTACCAAACAGGCCTTATATTCTACTACAAAAATCATTAAAATAGATAATAGGAGAAAAGAACGAATATTTAAACACATGATTTTTATATTTGAAATAAATATATCGTTGTGCTATATATATTAAAGAACATATTAACCCCTTAATTATATATTAAAGAATATATGTACCCCTTAATTATTATGGATGTAAGGGTATATTGGTTTTAACAATACCATTAATGTTTTTAAATGTTTCAAATTAAAATTGTGGGGCTTACACATTTTCTAACATATAACTCAAGAGAGTGCAGGGTATACTAGCACTTTCTCCCTAAGTAAATAATATAGTAATAATGATAAAAACCAAAACAAAATTCAATTTCTTTAAAAAACCAATAAGTGATCATTGACATGTAGCTATACATATACTTGTATGCACTTTTCGGGATCACAGGAGATTTGGTACTATCACGGTCTCCTCAAACTGCAACAATTCAGGGTGGTATCTGAAAATAGCTAAGGAAAAGAGCAGTTTCATTTTAATCCCCATGGGCCCAAACAATTCCAATTTAATAATTTTCATGACTATATTGTCAAATTTTGTTGGACTGAGAAATTTAGTGCAGGAGACACCAATGGATATGCTACAACAAACCATGAGTCTTACAGAGGAGCCTAAATCTATATCTAAACTTATTTTTGACTCACAAATTCGGGAAGCATACTCTGAGAAAATATACTCTCCCACTCCAGTAGAGCGGCCCCCGCCGGTCCAGGCTTACTCGGACGCATCAGATACCTTTTACCAAACAGATGATTCTGGCTTCACGGATGACTTTCTGGGACATGCCACTGAAAGCGAGCGTCGTCCCCCTATCTCAACTCCAGAAGAAATAAAGAAATCAAAATTCAACAAGGCAATCTGCAGGAAATCCAAGTTTGTTACCCCTGAAAATTGCCTGCCAACGGAGAACCTAAACACGCAGATCAAAATATACAGGAAATCTCAGAAAAATAAGAGGCGGCACAACATGACTACCAGGCCTCAAACCAGAGAATTCCCTTGGGTGTAGTTTTAGTTTTTACTTTCTCTGTATGTTCTTAATTTCTTTCTTTTAATTTCTTTTTTTCATTTGTACTACTTTTTCCTTAAAAAAACTTGTATGCACATACACACATGCTTTATATTTATAAAAACTATATAAATCTATTTGTATTAATATATTAATGAGGAAAATGACAAAAATGAAATTTATTTAATAATTTTTCAATTTTCCATTCTTGCATTTGAGGTTATAAAGGGTCAATTTGGACTTATTAGAAAATGTTAAGAATGTATTTGCACCTTACAAAATGTTAAGGACCAATTTTTCCCTCAGTAATTTTCAAATGTGTTTTTAAACCTTTTTATCTCTTTACATTAGATTTAATGTGTCAAAACCCTTCATGATATATTATTTCTGCATATAAGATTCACATGATTTTAAAAAAGTTGGAAAATGTGTTAATAAATTGCATTAAATGGTCATTTTGGGACATTTTTTGAGTGGGGTCCACTTCCGATTTGGGTCGGGTCAAAATGGTTTCGGATTGTCTTGCTAAGGGATACAATTCGATATGTGGTACATTCAAACGGATAACGAGTGAATGAGAAATTGATTCTTGAAGTTCACTCGTCGAAATGGACAAAACTAGGAAAATGATGGATTTCTAGTGTGTTTATCCCACACCGGAAAACCCAAGGGATTTTCACCCCCTTATAAAGGGAACCCCATTTGAAGGAGTTAAGATTCTTAGGTGGAAAGGCTCTCTTCACGCGCTGGGGAGTGTCGATCAAATCACGAAAACGGAGAAGAAAATCCGCGACTTGCGTGCGCGGTGGACATGCGGTCACGAATGCAGCTCGAATTGGACAGTTTTCTGGACGAATCAATGCCAGCATGCTGGACATTGATGTCCAACGTTCACACCATTAACACATTCAAATCCTTCCCCTATAGATTGGCTAGCAGGTGGTTTACAACAGAAACAATTCATACACTCCATGCATGTTTCTGAACCTCCGAAAAACACCTCTACCTTCTCAAAACATTCCTCCGTGTTTATACTTATTTTCGTTCGTCGGAACAATTCGTTTGAGTGCTCAAACAACTTGTTCGTAGTCATCGTATCCTGGAAAATGATCATTGCAACGCTTCTAGCATTTCAGGAGGCAACGAATACGTTTTAAGGATATCGTGCATAGCACGACCTTTGGCTAATTTCTGCTTCATCTACTTTCTGTTTTTCTTTAGTCATTTTATTTAATTAATTTTTGTTAATTGTTTTCTTTGTTTCTCGAAACACACCCAACAAAAAATACATCAAACTTCTGTTTTATAATTAATCATATGCATAATCTCCTAGAACTTAAATTCAGTCTTCAATTATAAGAAAAGTGATCACAATTTTCATATAATTTAGGCATCTTAAAAAACTATTTGATTATCCAATTATGACATTGCTAATATAGGACAGTTTCTAAATTTCTAAATTTATTTTTTCAGGATGTTAGTACATGCAAAATTATAATATAAGACAGTTCCACATGAAAGTTTTTTACACAGATATTATCAACAAGATTTACGGTTACAAGAAAGTGACTTTTACAATGGATCACATACAACGGCTAGGAGCAAGGTAGGACAAAAAGTCATAGTTTTGTTAATGAGGTTTAAAGTAGTAATATTTGTGTAAATTGTTCTTTTTAAAATCACATGGAAAGCATGTCCAAAGGAAAGCTTGAAGGAGAAGTTAGCAAATTCAACATTTTTATTCTTATGGTGTCATACAAAAATATATAGTTCATACATACTACATAATACTAAAAGTAACTCAAACATCTTAGTAGTTTCATACAACTGATCCCTTACATAGTGCGATTAACATAACTGTCAATAATAAGTAAGATAATTTTAGCAAATTCCTTAAACTTGGAATGCCAAGTTGTAGCCTTTTTAATACTATATTGAATTCATTCTCAAATCAAGATTTGTTTTTACTTATTTGTCTATTTAGTCATGTCTAGATTAAGAGGCCGTTTGGTAACACTGTTTTTCGGCTTATAAGATTTATCAGCCAACTTTTTCACCAAACACGTAACTTTTGTTTTCGTGCACTGAATTGTGTAATAATAAGAAAAAGTAAGGTTGGAATTATTTTTATGGCTGTATTGGCTGAAGTTACTGTAGATGACTATTTTAGCTATTTTTACATATAACTTTTTCTTTATTTTATTAATAAAATATATTTTAAAAATAATTTTTTCTTAAATCAGTAGAATCAGCCAATGCAACTACTTCAACCAAAACTTCGTAAATTTCAGCATAATCAGCCGAATCAACTGATTTTCGTGTTACCAAACGCCCTCTAAGATCTTTGTTTATATTAAGTGATTTTTTCATATGAAACTGTTTAGTTGTGTACAAAATAAACAAGAGGATTTGACTAGAATAATCAATTTATAATTATTATTGACTTATATTGTCAATGAATATATTTCTTATTAATGTACATATATTCTATAATAATTAATCACAAAAATGTTTGTATAGACCGTTTCATAGGGGTTTTAATGGGAAGGAATTGGCTTAACAATTAAGTCATTTTTGGGAGAATTATTAAATTATATTTTCAATTAAGTGATAAGTGCATATGATTTAATGACTCAGTGATAAAGGCTTCTAATAATTGGGCAAATTATAAGGTACACCCGGGTGTACATGTACACACGGTATTTTTGCAATTATTTGCAAGATGCAGGTTATTAATTACGGACTCTCTTCCAGCTCTTTCACTTCGTCTTACGTATTTCAGCTCTCTTACGCACTCTCTTCCAGCTCTCTTTCACTTTTTGTACTCCGTATTTTACATTTTCTTCCACTCACTCATCATTCATCCGTATCTCTGCTTCTTGATTTTTCTTTTTCTATTTATGCTTCTATTTCCCTTTTTCTTTTCTCTTAATTTGGACATTTAATTTTTGTAACATTGACTTTTCTTTTGCTAAAAAACGCATTAAGTTTTTCTTTTCTTTGTTGTGCTTCCGTTTTTCTTTTTTGTTTTCCTTTAGTTTTGAACTTTAACTTTTATAACTTTAGTTTTTCTTTTTCTTTTTCTGCTTCCGTTTTTTACTTTTATATATATCTTTTGTCTTCTGCTCCTCTAATTTTGAACTCCTATTTCTTTTTTATTTGTATGTAAATTTTCTACAAGAATTTTTTCATGTAATTCTTTCAAAAATTCATATCAAATGACAATTCAATAAAAACAATATACCTTTCTCACTCTTCTATTAAAACGTCCAACTTTCAAAATAATTAAGAGTATACTATTTAAATTAAATGCACATTGATATCCAAAGAAAAATAAGCACAATAAAATTTGTTGGTCTAAAATAAGAAATTGATTCTTCTTTATGTTATGAGCATACACAAATTGATATTTGAGCATACTAGAGATTTTCAATGTGCTTTTTAAATTTTTCGATACTCATTTCGTAAGTTATATATATATATGCCCATTTATTATTGGAAAATATGAAGTAGAGATCACGATGCTCATTTTTTAATTTTTGGATACTCATTTTGTGAGTTATGTGTCTTCATTTAGTACCCGTGTTATGTTCATTTTAAAATGTTATATCAATGCATATCTCAAAAGTTTCATACTATATATTAGATTCACATAAGAGTTGATTGTAGACACAAGACCACAAATTACAATACTCAATCACAGATTCTAATACTCAATAACGGAGGTTTGATGCTCTCTGAAAAAAGGTTTGATGCTCAACGAACAAAACTTACAATTTTCATATCAATGCCCATCTTGTAAGTTACATATGCTCATTTGTATAGGTCTCATGCTCATTACAAGTTCATTAATGCTCATTTCACAGAAACCGTGATTTTCATCTCAATAGATCGAAGATGTTTGATGCTCAATGAAAATGTCGTTATGTTACACCAACAAACCTTACGATTTTTCACACCAATGAACATTGTATACTAGTAAGTTATGCGTGCTCATTTGATACTGCTGTTATGCTCATTTTAAAATGTTATATCAATGCATATTTTAAAAGTATCATATTACATTAAATTCACATAAAGAAATTCATAGGATTGTATTATAGATATAATTCAATTAATTTTTATAAAAGAAAAAATAAGGGAAAAAATTGAATTAGAAGATATGAAGCAGAAATCATGAAAATCATTGTTAGCCTTTTAATACTCAATAAAATAGGTCATATGCTCACTAAAAGTACATTATTGCTCATTTAGCGGAAGCCGTGATTTTTCGCTTAAATTACAAAAATGTCACCGAATCGTTTTTGACTTGTATTAGTGGTTGGACTGTCTTTCTCACTTGGGCCGGGTGTACTTACACCCGGATGCACTATATATGTACCCTAATAGTTGGGATGCATCCTGGTTTCTAAAGACGAGTCAAGAAAAATACTAATTAGATGCAAATTGTTCTCTCGTTGCCGCCTCCGGCAACGCCTAACTCGTTTTTGTCCGGCGGTAGTTCGTTTAGGCGGGTACGGCGCCGAGAAGATTCCAGTTATTCAACTACAATTTCGGTTTGCAAGGAGAATTTTGGAAGGGTGGAGTCATGATGAGCGTGTTATCGTGGAACTGCAGAGGACTAGGCAATCCGGCGACCATGCAGTGTTTAAAGGACCTTGTGCATCAACATAGGCCATCCATTGTTTTTCTGATGGAGACGAAGTTGTGATGCCGGCGTGCCAATGAAATTCTACGCTCGGTAGGGTTTGCGAATAGCGAGGGTATAGATGCGGACGGACAAAGAGGAGGCGTCGTCTTGGGATGGAACGAGGATTATGATGTCATGGTGGTGGCGGCCAATGCTAATTATGTGGATTGTCAAGTATGTAACCTTGAGGGAGGAGCAACATGGAGATTCACCGGCTATTACGCCTTTCCAGAGACAGTTTGAAGGCGGGCTGCGTGGGAGCTACTGCAGCGCTTCGCCGAGAACAATACTCGTGCATGGTTGATTATGGGGGATATGAATGATATTCTGTATAACTCTGAGAAGAAGGGTCGTGTACCTCATCCTCCGTGGCGGCTGCGAGGGTTCAGGGAGGCTGTTTCAGCAAGCGGATTATGAGATTTTCCTTTTGACAGATATCAGTGGACGTGGG